TGGGGGCAAATCCCTCGCTAGTTTCCTTTCTCCCTTTGGACCCACTATTTGAAGAACCCTCACCCCAAACAAGCGTAGAACCCCCCCCCCCTCAGAAAACACATATCAGCTTTGCTCGAAGTGGTGGTTTGAATTGGTGGTTTCGCGGTTAGGTGTCTTCCCAGTTACCTGCAAGAACCATGGGCCAAAACCTCTAAACCTCCAACATCCTCCAACTAAGGGCTACGCAACTCATATAGGTCGAAATTAGAGGTCTCCCCAAAATGGCTTCGGTTTGCTTCCGGCTTCCCTCTAAAACCACCCAAAAAAGGGGATCCCCCAGCGCCCCCCCCCAAAAAAAGACGACACAACACAAACACACACAAAAAACAAAACAAAACACAAAAAACGAGCAGGCACCACCCCACCGTGGACCGACCCCGTCCCAGGCGCTTCTCCTCCGCGTGCTCGGTGAGTCCGGCGGAGGCGATGCCCAGCTGCAGGCCCCGCAGCTCCGCCAGGCCCCGGAGCCGGCCGATGCAGGTGTAGCCCGGGTTCGTCTTGCGCCCCGCCTGGCGGGCGCCCAAGAAAACAGCCAGAAGCCTGACGCGCAAATGGGGATAATACTCCAAGCTTTTCTGGGGAGGGGTTGTCCAAAAGCAAACCTAAATAGACAGCAATATCTAGAAGGACAACCTAAATGGGAAAGCTGAGCAGGAAACCTGAACAGGAAACCAAAAGGAACCCTGTTGATGGAATCAACATCTGGTCCACACCCTGGCAGTGGACCCTCCATGTTTCAGTTGTTGAGTTTGTCTTCTTGTCCAAGGAAAGAAAAAGAAACCGGAGAGGCAACCGGAGAAAAAAAAAAAAAAAGGAGACCTCCTGCCTGGGCGTCATCCAGCATCTTGTGCCCGTGGTCCGGCCGGAACGGGATCTCGCTGTCGGACCAACCCTCCTGATTTGAGGTCGGTAGGGCGAGCTGAAACGCAAGAATACATGCAACTGGCCCCTCGGTTTCCACCACTTGCGAGAATTCTTACTTAATAGCTTCTCAGATTCAGGAACGCCCTCCATGTGGCGTGCCCTTGAACTGTGCAAAGAGCACTTCCCTGATCAAGACCCTTCGTGGCTTAGCCACCTCTTGGGTGTCTCCATCGCATCCTTTTGGCATTCCTCTATGCTCAACCGTCGTCCTTGACTCGTCGCTGCTTCTCCTGCAGCATGGTCAGCATGATGGAGTACCTCACTCCAGTCACAATCAAAACCAGATACTCAAAGCATGTACCCAAAATCCATGTAAAGGATTGAACGGGCGGCCGCACCTATTCATGGTTAGGACCGTCCCTTGGCACTCTGGGGTTGATTGTAAATCACTTCTGGAAATACCAAGGTGCTCACTTGTTGGGTCGCAGGAAATCCAGAACAAATTTGGCTAAGACCAAACAAGGAAACAATCAAACATCCAGAGGTCGCAACCCGGAAAAGCAACCTCCACCCAAAGACCACCTACTTCATGAGGGAGAATCAGCTGAGGGCTGACCAAAACTTATTGCGGTAGGACAAACGCACGTCTTGCGCCCTTGCCAAGAAGAAAAAACACCATCGGTGGGCAACCCCAAGGCCGAAGGTCTGTGCTTCCCGTTTTATCAGCATCGCTTTCCAACAGGGAAAAGCATTGCTAGGGTGTCACCTTGGCGCCGGCAACTTTCCTGTGGCTTCGCATCACCTTGACAAGAGTGCCTGTGTAATTCGGGAAATACGGGGCTCTGGAAAAAACAGCATTGCATGAATCGCAGGCGTTTGGAGCGACGAGGTGATACCGCACCTGCACAAATTGATCCCATGCAAGTCACGTGTCTCAAATCTAAGGGCTACTGGTGCTTCATTTTGACTGCAGATCGTCCAGGAACAGGCAGTGCCACCCCAAAAAAGATGCTCGGCGTCTAGAGTCTAAAGCAAATCGATTCTCGCCTCAAGCAAATCACTCCTTATTTGCTTCCTGGATTGGCTGGCACCAAAACGAATATCAGTGGCTCAGAAATCGTTCTTCTTCCAAGGATGGGCCGGAACTAAACTCCCCACACAAAGTTTGAAGCGCCCAAAACCCTCTTTTGCGCTGCAACATCCCTTGCAACAAATCGCTGTCTGGAGGCTGCACCCCACAAAATCTCTCGCCAGTTGCGCGTTCCTGCGCGACCACAACAAGACACGAGCGGCACGTATCGAGAATTCCGTGATATCCAGTTCCGAAAAGCCCTGGATTTGTTCAATCCGCCCTCTGGACTTGTGGCGTTGTTTTCTTGAAGTGCCACAGAGTTGCCTCGAATTTCAGGGGGCCCCGGCCTTTTCGCTTTGTGCCCGGGCGCATGTCCACGTCTCCGCCCAAGTGGTCCGACTCCGTGAAGGTGCAGCCCGCAGGGCCCAGGCCCGTCTCGCCCGGGGGCAGCTCCTTGGTCACGTTCCGCAGGTGCACGAAGTGGGTGCGGCTGGCGAACTCCCGGCACATCTCCTCCACGTTGTTCTGCGGGGAGGAGGCCTCCAAAAGAAGTTTGGAGTTGGAGTCGGGTCCGGCGAGCTAGGTGGGAAGTTCTTGGCTTAGCCAGGTGGGAAGTTCTTGGCTTGGTGTTGCTTTGTGTAGGTGTGAAGTGGTTGGGATCACTGAGTCCGAATTGTTAAAATCAACCGGGGAATGGGATTTGTTTGGTGTGTTGCAAGGGACAGAGTGGAGAAAGGAGGGGCTGGCTGCAGATCAATGATAAGTAAGCAACTAGCGCCATTCACCAAAGTTCCGCAGCTGCAAGTAACAATGGCATACGTCGACAAGAAACCTTATCATTTGATCCCTTTCTGGTTAAAAAGAAACCCAAACCACTGAACTGAACCTCTTGTAGAAAAGCAACCTTCTGCGATACCAAAGTGAGATTCCCCTCAGTTCATCACTTAGGGAATCCTCCAACCAAACGAAAAGCCCGGGACATATCCCCACCCAGCCCCCGGAACCTCTGGAAAAGCTGCAAACCACCCCTCGCTTGTTTGGGCCTATCAACCCCCCGCTTTCGGCTGGGCCTTCTGCCTAAAGCTCTGCTTTCGGGCCAAGCGGCGTAGGTGCCCACGCACAAGGTGATGCCGTTGTTCCTGGAGTCCTTGCCACAGTTCTGTCAAAGTCCGGAATGAATCTAACGACCATCTGCTTTAGGAGGGATACCTCCAAATTCGAAATCAGCTCAAGGCGCAATGTGTCCTCTAAAAAACCGGGTTTGTTGGGGGAAATAGTCGGTTTATCCTTCCAATCATCCAATGGATAACAACGGTGTGCCCACCATTCCCCCTTGAACAAGCACTGGCGCATGCTGACTGATAGAGGCACAGTGACCCTCAAAGAAAGACACACCTGCTGTGTGTCTGGGCAAATTGCTCTTCACACGCCTGCACTAAGAAATCCCCAAAACCATCATGGGTGAGACCCACCAGGTGAGCTCATTCGTCCAAGCAGATTCCCAGGTATATAAATCAGGGGAAACTTCAAAGTAGGCTATTTCCCTTCACCCTCAAAGGCTTGTGCATGTTCTGACCTCCGTGTTTAACCGAAAAAAGTGTTGTTTGCCACTCAAACGGTTCTCCCCAAAAGCATAAAGCTCCGGCACTCAGAGGTGAGCTTTTCCCACAAAACAAACCTGGGTGAACTATAATATTTCACCAACCTGAAATAAGGTGGTTGGGGCTATTCCCCCACATAAACCACCATTTGGGGTGAGGTCGTGTGAGGTTCACCCAAACGAAAGGTCCTTGGCGGCCAATAGCGCCCTCACATCCTCCGCCGTGGAGCACGCCGGAGGCAGGCCCAGAATCGGGCGCGGGGGGTCGTCTGGGTGGATGGCCATGAAGACCCCCGCCTCCTCGCACAGGGAACCGAACCCCACACATTCATGTGACAAATACTTGGTTGACGTGGGAAGGGGAGCAAAGTTTTAAATCTTAGCAGCTAAGTGGGGATTTCCCACTAAACCACAATAAGCAAAAATGTAAAATGTTTCGAAACAACAACCATGAATACTGCAAAAGGAGCCGTGCATTGTGAGAAGCTGGCTTTACCTACCAAAACAAAACCATGTGACAAATACTACAAAAGGAACAGTGCGCGGTGAAAAGCTGGCTTTTAGATGGCTATTTTTTGTGAGGGCGAAGCCTTGTGCAGCTCTTGTGCACCGACGCAAGAGGCGCACAAGGCCTCGCCGTGGATCGTGCAGGCTGTGCACAAGTTGTAGCAATTTCCCCGAATCCCTGTGACTCGGCCTCTCCCCCGAACTTGACTCGCGGATAAGGTGGTTGATTCTCGTGACTACCAGCGTCTGGGGGGACTGAAACCAGGGCGAGGGCTTTGGGTTCCCTTCCTTTGGTTTCAAGGCGCGCCAGGGAGTCAACTCCCCTAAGGGAAGGAACATGGTTTCACAAACTGCCAGAAAGAACAGCTGAAACTGGTTCTGGGGGCCAGTTCCATAAGCCTTCAAAGTGAATCGACCAAAAGGAAACTCACAAGTTGGCCATGAAATGATTCAAGCTTGACGTTACAAGGTGTTGCTTACACTTGGAAGCCGTCAACAAAGGTGAGGGTGGACAAGGTGCCAATAGTTTGCAACTCCTGGTTGAATATTTGAGGGCTCGCCAGGTCGAACGTCCGGGTATTGTTTCCGCCTATGTCAAGCCTCATGTTCACAGTCCAAAAGTGGAAGCATGATTTTGCTGGTTGGGTCTGTCCTTTTTCGAGGGTGCAATACCTCTTTTGGTTGGCTTTAAACAAAATTCAAAAGGCCAACCACCTTCTTTTCGGGCGGGGGGGTCCCTAGAAAAGGCACCGGGTCTTCGTCGCATTTCGAAAGAACTCTTCTCGGGTGCTTTTCGTCTCTTCCGGCCCCGCCTCGCAGGCCGGGATCACACTCCTCAGGAAGTAGGCCAAGTTCTCCCGCATCTGCTCCTTGGACATGCCCTTGTACTGCGCCACCGCCTCCCGGAACCTGACCCGTGGAACTTGTTTCGAGCATAGCCCCATGGCCCGTCTCCAGCTTGGTGCAAAAGGGGGCCGCAATTTGCAAAATCCCGCCAGTTTTGGAGGTCCCCCTACATTAACACAAACCCCGTGTCTTTTCTTTTGAGGGTACCCTTTTTTGGTAGGGTTTGAAGGGAATCCACAAGCAAAACCGCCATTTTGAGGAGTCACCCAAGAAAAAGGCAGACACACCCATTTGGAGCCAAACCAATGGAGGCATCTTCAACTCAGGAGCTGTTCCACGGAGTAGGCCTCCACCATTCGCCCCGGCAACCCCGCGATGATGTTCTGCTGCAGCCGCTTTTTCGCCTTCGCCCGTTTGGGGCCCGGTTGGGAGCCAACAAAATAGCTCATATGCCAGCTTCCCTTGGATTGATGAGTTGGATTGGTGGTTTGGAGAGGATACCTTGCCTTTTGATTTGAACAGGAACCAGGGATTCTATTCCCCAAACCTCCTGTCAACACCAAGATGAATTACTGTAACACTTTTTTCAGTATGAAACAAAGCTGAACCAAAACACGTGATTGAATGATCGCTTCTAAGACGGGCACTGCGTCTTTGTTCTTTTCACACCTCCTTCGTTTCGAACACATGCGCCCGGGTTTGTACATATGCTCTGAAACGAAGGATCTCTTGTGACTCGTGACGGGTAGCTACTAGCCACTACTAGTCACTAAGGACTAAGAGCTCCCTTTTGTGGCTTCAAATTTTGGGTTTGTCTCCCGACCCCCCCCCCCCCCACCCCACCCCGCAGAAAACAAAGGATGGGTTTCCAACGTAAGCTCCAACAGTTCAAGCAACCCCAAGCAGGCAGGTACGGCACCCTGAGAGAGACACTATGGCTGCCGCAGGGTGTTGATGCTCAAGCATGAAAAGGGAACATCAAAGGCAAACAGTGGGTGCAGGAGAAAGCAAACTATCAAACGCTTGGCGCTGCCTGCGGAACCTGTAAGATCGCCCAATGGGGATCAATGTTGCCCAGGTGCTGGAATAAACAAGGGTCCCAGTTTGTAACAAAGGCTGGGGGTCACACTCCAATGGTGCCAACGTGGGTGTTCAACCAGCCAAGACTACGACATTTTGGCGAACCTCCGCAAGCGCATAGGTGTCCTTTTAGGGCAAATAGATGGCCCTGGTAGATGATTAAACCACCAGGTACACCAGGAATCGCCATCTATTTTTCCACCAATACAACCAAAAAGGACACCGAAAACCCCAAGCGTCGCTTTTTGGATGCCTCAGGTCTACCCGCCTCATCGTCCATCTGCTCGAAGGAGCGCTTCGCCCTGGCCACCGCGGAGGCTTCGTACTCCTGCGCCGATGGCTGGCTGTTCGGGGAGCACACGCCTAGAGTCTCGAAGGTGTGGACTACCAAAAAGGCGCAACGGACAAGATGAAAGTAGTCCTCTGAAGGTCTGCGCCAATGTGGGTTTCCTTTGGTTTCCCTCAAAACCATCCAAACAGGGAGGAGACCCCATTTTCAGAAATAAACACGAGTACACGGGCATGGTCAAAACATGCAGGGTTGTCAGCTTCCCTCCAATTGGTTTGGATTGGTTTGGATTGGTTGGGTGGCTTCCCATTAAAAGAACCAGAGGTTTAAATCCAAATCCAATCCAAAGCACCAACTAAGGCTTACATGAGGTTGGTGTTCTTTGGTTTCCCTTAAAAACATCTAAAAGGGGGGGACCCCTATTTGGAAACACCCGCATAGTTTGCTAGGCTAAGTGACCTGCTTTGGGTTGCATAGGACAAGCGGCATGTGAAACGTTCAACAGAGGTCTGTTTAAGTGAATCTCCATTCATTTCTGGTCTAGACTCCCAAACCTCATCCACTGAAGTTCCAGCCTAGGATTGATGGTCTGTGCTTCACCGGGCATCACTCTCTGCAATTGAGCGTCCCTTTAGCGGAAAGGGCTTACGAACAAGTAGCGCACGTTGCAAACCCAAGAAAAGTTCCTCATGGGTGCATCTCAAAATAGCAGAAATCCAAACAGATGTGGTCTCCCTGTGGTTTTCCATGAAACACACCCCGCAAAAACGTCAACTTACCAAGACATCCTTACCTTCAAGGGCTACGTTTCCCCCGTCTTGGAGGGTGCTGAAACGTGGCAGCTTAAAGTAAAGGCCTGGCCAATCCCCCCCCCCCATCCCTATGAAAACCACGAAGACCCCTGAGCAACTCAATGGATTGGGGATGTCGAGTCCAGCTCTTGGCTGCAAAAGCAATCCAAAGAAAAACCTCATGGGGTCTCGTGGGTCTGTCTTTTCTATTGTACCCACTTTCTTGGCGGTAAAAAAAAAGGCGCACCGACGCAATTTCCGTTTTGTTCCTATTTGGCTGTGGGTCACAAACAGGTAGCCAAATTGGAACCCTGGTAAATGGAACTACGGACTAAAACCTGCGGTCCATATCCTGGTGGTTTCATTTTGACTTTATACCCACTTTGCCCTGGTGGTTGAATTTTGACCC